ATAAAGCATACAACTGTCCAACGCGAGATTTATCAATTATTATTTATAGTTGTTTCATAATATCAACATCACTTTTTGAAGTAATTAACTTTTCTGGACTCTATTAGTCTTCTAAAATCTATGAGTTGAATAGGTCATTTGCCCTATCCTTTACTCAGCGAAGAGAAAAAACATGGTGCGAAGTTAATGAAAAAGTAGATACTTGGCGAGACGTAAGTAAGAAAATTAAGCGTAACAGTTGTTATGTTGGAAATTGGAGGACTATCAGCTACTGTGTACAGTCTTCTTAAAAATTCTGCTTTTGTAAGGGCAGTTCAGAGTTTTCCGTGTTTACAGCAAGAACTTCTGTTGTCGATAGATGACATAAGTGGAAACCAACTTAGCCTCTGCTTATATGCCATTTTGAAAGGTTTTTCTGATGATTCAAGGTGCTCAAGAATTGAGCTATTGGTACCTTTAATCTTTCCTTTCAACAACCATATCGAGAGAGGAGTTTGTGAATGGGCAGATGTTATCCTACTGGCACGGCCTCTAAGACAATTCTTCATGTGAATATTTGTAACGTACATTCAGATTACATGAAATCTCTACGCAATTTCATTTAAACATGATCGAATGAAATATAAATTGGTTAATGTATCCAAGGACGTTAAACAAAATGAAGATAAATAAAATGCCAATCAGTGTAGTCTTTGTTGCTATCTGTATTTCACAGCTTACTCACGGTATGATCTAAAGTATATACAGATTAACGAGAATGTTACACCCAGAAAGGGGAAAGCTTAAAAAATGTTTCGTGTAAAGACATTTGACTTCCTTTTCAAACAGTCTAGAAGTAGCTAGATAAAGAAATGAACTGGAGTCTTTATTTCGTAATAAAATTTCAAATCGTTAAGCTAAAATTCAGGCATATCTCTCTAGCGCAAATGTTTAACATCAAGGAGGATTTCAGCTCACAGGTCTCGTCATTCAAATAATAAAGATGATTATTTCTTCTCTGCATAGCCCTCGCAATTTCTAGCTATACATAAAATCTTCACTGAATAAAACTTAAATTAGGATAACTCTGTTGTAACACGTCCTATCATCTTGGTGAGTAAACTTTTAAAAAAGTTAAAAGGTTGACAGACATTTCAACTGAAATTTGTCATATTTTTGTGTTTATCTGGACAAAATAATTACACAAAGATGGAGATAATTTTCAATCCATTGACTTATCAGCTGGATAAACATCAAGATCAAGAAGTGAACATGTTTTTTTGTTGTTTTGAAAACAACTGTTTACTTTACAAAATATTAAGTGATAAACAACTTCCATGCCTTTCACATTTATTTCTCCAAGGTTATCTAATCTTTGACTTACTTGAGCATTTTTATTAAATTTCTGTGACCTGAACATCTGCAGTATGACAAACATTCCCATAATTTGTAATCGTTGCACAATAAACGGAAACATATGTGACATTATGAGTTTTTTTTTTATCTAACCAAAAGACAAATGAATTAATAAAACAAATTGAGTCCCATATGTTGGTGAGCTAAAGAACAGTTTTTAAAAAAATGATCACAGAATGTATTATTTGATATATTCTTAGTGATTTATTGAAAGACGGACTGTTCGTGAGTGGAAACATTCTCTGTGAAAAGTTTAGGGCAGGTGATATCAATTCACAGATTATTTATACGGTTCACATTGCAGCCACAATTCCAAAAAACCACCTTCCTAAATATACGTAGAAAATACTTCACATAACTATTTTGATAAACACAATCAGTGCATCAGTGGTTGAAAGACAGTACTGTTTCTGACATTCTAAATGTGTATCTATCAGTTTACTTCTTCATGTGGAGTGCGATGCGCTGTTTGTACACTAAATTCTATAAATGCATTTTCCAACACTGACCACCTAAGTTAGCTAGTCAGAGAAGAATAAAAGAAAGTCGGCGACTGTATTCTCAAGAAACTAATCACTGTCGGACACTTGACGTCTAGGTGCAACAACTTCAAAGCAGTCTGCACACTTCACCAATACCACGTAGCTGGACTTCAGATTTGTAGTTTATATAAAGCTGGATCGATGGCAGTTCATTACTTTAAACTTAACAGTTGTGTTGAAAAACAATGTGTTTCTTCACCATGAGGACCTAAGCTGAAGTATTTCAATCTGAAGGCAGAAAACCACTAGAGGCGTACTTCCACATAACTTTCCAAACTTCCTTACATGACGCGCAGTCCAAAATTTGTATTCCACCTGTATCAAAAGACGTTTTTGCTTGACGGAATCTCTGGTACTATTCAATAAGAATATTTTAAATTACAAAAATGCAAAACTACATCAGCAATGCGACCCGGATATTATGCAGTTCAAGAGTTTTCACGTACGAAATACGCGCTGTAAAACAAAACTGACTGGTCAATAAGAATTTTCCCACCATTACAGAATCAAAACTCTGCCTCTAAGAATCAAACAGAACAGACACGTTCCCCGTAGACAGTCGAAAGTTAAGTAGTCATTAAATAACACATTAACACTGTAATCACACAACAGTATACAGAAGCACTGAAAGTAAAGATTCTGATGTGGTTGTGTTCTCTGAGCTGGATAGTTAATTTGCCAAGCTTTCATCACCCTGGTTTTATCTTCTTTCTCTGTTGAGTCTTTTGGTTGACATAAAATTGAGTGAAGTGACTTTGTTGGTTTGTGTATGACGTCAAATCCTAAAGGTTTGAAGAGTCCCGTAGTGATTTCTGGTATATATATAAAGGGTATCTCAGAAATCACTACAAGACTCTTCAAACCTTTAGGATTTGACGTCGTACACAAACCGACAAAGTCACTTCACTCAATTTTATGTCAACCAAAAGACTCAACAGAGAAAGAAGATAAAACCAGGGTGATGAAAGCTTGGCAAATTAACTATCCAGCTCAGAGAACACAACCACATCAGAATCTTTACTTTCAGTGCTTCTGTATACTGTTGTGTGATTACAGTGTTAATGTGTTATTTAATGACTACTTAACTTTCGACTGTCTACGGGGAACGTGTCTGTTCTGTTTGATTCTTAGAGGCAGAGTTTTGATTCTGTAATGGTGGGAAAATTCTTATTGACTCTGAGGTAATCTATGAGTTATTGGTCAGTTGGTTTTGTTTTACTGGAAAACCTGGGAGCACTGGACAGTTGTTTCGTCCTAGTTTGGAGCTCTTCATCAGAACTCTCTAACGAGCTCGTCTCGCAACCAGAAGGCCCTGTGTTCGAAATCCGGTGGGTGTGTGCTGAGGAAGAGTTGCAAACTGGGACAAACACAGCTTTTTAGTACTCTCAGGTTTTCCGATGGTTCTCTAACTGATGTCAACTTGTGATCAATCCTGTAACAAATAATGAGTCGAAAGAAGATATGCAAATTTTAGAACAGTGATAAATATTTCAGAGTTGAAGTATTCAATTAAGTATCAATATTGAGGATGAAACTATATACTACTGATTTATTGAGATGAGTAGTTGCATATCACACATATCAACCAGTAGTGCTTGCTACCCAGAGCGAGGTAATCTAGACACCGGACGGCAGTTCTACTCCTTTGCGGCTGAGCTCATCAACACGGTACTAGGTTTGACTTAGCTCAGAGAGCAGAATCAATTCAAACCACCCGATTTCTGGCTAGCTGCTTGGTCAAACTGGCCAAACCATAAATTATGTTCACAGCCAGCAAATTAGTTTCAAGCGAATATGCCTGCTTTCTTGATTACCATTTATTTTATCAAGCAGGTCACATATTGTGATCAGAAAAACTTGGCTTACAAAGGAAACTTCAGTGAAATTTCCTCATTCGGACTGTGTACATTTCAAATTGTGAACTTGAATATTGAAAAAAGCTTGTTAGCAAATGGATTTTTAGATAAATATTCTCCTACATTCACGGTAACATATCTGTCATAATTCGTCATTATTGTAATTTTGTTGTATGCTCATTTTATCTTTTCTGATTCAGAAATTACCATTAAGACCAATCCTGTATCTGTTTCCGTAAACTTAGTCTGAGTAGGTCATTTACACAACTGCCCCTAACTTTGGCTTTCTAATCTTTGCTTAACCATCCTCATAAATAGCAATCCCTTGATTATATAAAACACTTTCCGACAAAAGTTGATCATTACAATACTGGTTTCAGTGAATTTTCTAATAAAGTAAAATGTGATTGTATAACTTTTGGAAATGATTTGTAGGAAAGCAAATTTCTTCTCTGATGCAACATTTTATCATGACTAAGCATTGGACTTTCCTATTTACTATTCGTAATTCCCTCAGTTCCATAATTTTCTCAATAGTTTCTTGATGATCTAGAATTTCTTTCCGATTGCATTTTGGATAAAGATATGGGCAGTCTAAACTTCTATGAAAACCCTTTTACATTCACAAGATATTTCTGTAAAACATGATATAGTAGAGCACAGTTATTTGTAAGGGTATCCATGAAACGCAGATTTCGAAAAGTGGTTGTGGAGTTAATGTTACCTGTCAATGACGGTGTGAAGCCTATTTTTTTTTACCAATAGGCATTATTTTTACACTTTCCATAAATTCTTACTTTTTCTTGCTCATTAAAATATTCTTTCAAAATTGAGGAGTAGGAATCATTTCTGTATTTACCTCAATGGAGGGCTGAAAAGTCAAGCACGCCATTAGGGTGTAGCAACTGATATTATACTTCTACTTGTGAACTTAAAGCTGATAGTTGTATTTACCTATATTTAGCATTGATGAGTTTATCTGATCTGCATGTGCATTACGAATATTCATCAGATGAATTGTTTCCTAGGCCATATCAGTAGGATATTATCTAAACATTCACAAAAACATTTTTCATTATGGTTGTCGCAAGGAAAATTAGATGGACCAATTGCTCGATTCCTGAGCACAGTGTTCTTGGAAATCATCGCATATCAAAAGAAAAATCTTTTGGAATGGTATATAAGATAAGGTCAAGTCGGTTTCCGGTCATGTCCTCTTTTGACAACAAAAGTTCTTGATATCCTCAGTTTTCGTCTTCTTACTTTCATCACCATCAGCATCATTATTATCAACACGATTTGCGGTTTCTTCGTGTTCGTCAGTGTCTATCATCATAGGTGATGATTCTTTCTGTTTGCAGTCTTCTTGCTCACCATCTTTCATATCATTAAGAGCGAAAGTTGTCTCATCGTCTTTGGGTTTTTGAACGGCAAACACACTTGTGTTATTCGATGTTGATGGAGTCAAATTAGTATCTGCTGGTTTATCTTTCATACCCTAAGAATTACACACCTCTCTAGACGAAGTTTGAGTTATCTTCTGTGCAAGACGAGTAGCCTGCCTATGCAATTTGTTAAAAGTATTTTCACACACGGATGTTAAAGATTGTTCACTCGGAGGATCACTGACTAAGTCTGCCTCACCCGGCAGAGGTATGTTAGCAACTATGAGCTCGTTCACACTATTTAGTATTCCAGCGGTAATATCCTGTATCGCCGGCTGCATGCTTATACTTCCAAAGGTGAAACCTCCCAAACCGGAACCACTTATGTTTGCTGTCGAATCACTGGCCGAAGTGACAGTAGGTTGGTGTTCTCTAGTAGTCGGAGGAGGTCTTACAACCGTATTCAGACAATGTTTGCTCATTGTTCAGAACTCTCCCCTGAAATATTAGACGTTGCTGGTCTGATGCTATATTCAATCTTTCCTCTGTCTCTTTCTTGAAGTTCTTAACGGTCATTTCTTCATCTTCCTTTTAAAATACTGAGTATCTACCCTCTAACGTTTTAACCGTCACATCGAACATCGTCAGGAGTATACAAGAAAGGAACCCTTCATTATTAAAGAAGTTTTGTATTTCTCAATGAATGAAAAACAAAACGATACTGTTTTTACTGACGCTATTTAATGCTAATGGCTTTATCAAAGTTTTATTTAACCAGAATTTACGAAATTCCAGCTTATATATAACAACCTAATCATTCATATTCAGACAATTTGGATGCCATTTAATATGAAGTACTTCTGATATTGGACGTTCTTTGGGATTTCTGAATTTTTTCTGGATTATTTCATTATTGTCAACATCAGTTTTGTGATCTGATTCTTTAGCGTGTAGACCTTCGGCTGATGATTTTCGAAGCTTTTCTAGTTCACTAGCTGGATTTCTTGGTGGTCGAACAGATGCCCTACGATGTTCATTTCTTCTGATTATCTTGATTTCTCGCGAAGTTTGTCCGATGTATATCGCATCACATCACATTCCAAGCATTTTATTTTGTAGACACAATTGGATAAAGAATTACTGGGGATTTGGTTTTTTATGTCTACAAAGTTGCTTCGTAGTATGTCTGATATTTTGAAGAAAACTCTGATGTTGTGGTTATTGAGTACTCTTCTGAAATCATGTGACATTTCTTACCTGTGTGGAATGACAACTGTTGAGTCCCATGTCTTCACAATACGTTTTCGACCCTTAACTGTGTATACAGAGGCAGTTTGGCGAATCTATTATCCTCATGTGGCTACAAACAATTTTGTTAACTTGTACAATAATTTTGTATGTTATCCAGATTCATCTGTGTTTTGCTGTTTCCGTCCTTCCGAACTCCTGACTTTAAAACATATTTTTCGCATATTCTAAATCTCTTACTCTTATGAACAATATTCCCTTTTCTAGAAGAGTTCAGTTCTAATGATAATCATTACTGAGAGATATTCATCATTTATATTAGGTGAGAATGCTTAACTAAGTTGCACAATTTATCCACTATTTTCCTGATGTGATTTCGTATGTTTTGTCAACAATGGATAATAGCAACTCATTGTTATATGCATTTCTGGGAATTTTTAGAACTTTACATTACTGTGCCTTTTTGAAATGAAGTTACTGAAAGAATATCCTTTGCTGATTCGTATTTTTTTTATTCTATATCACATGAGTATTTCTCAAACTTTAAAGAACTATACCAGAAAGCTAAGTCTAGTATATATGATAGTAATCATTTTGGACATGAATTGAACAAATGCTTTTTCGCATAAGCAAACAAACTGATGTGTTATAAACTTTGGACTAATGTACAGTGACAGGTGAAAGAAGTCAGTAAGAGGAATAAACATGTAGTAATCATTTAGATTTGGATTTTAGGTTTATAGGGATTGAAATAACCTCAGTATTAATTTCACCACGAAAATATATGAGTCAGAGAGTCCTTTAAAACCATGACAAACCCATTAAATGTCCCACCGCAGTTTGAGACTGTTTAGTATTGGGGATGTATCATCTAACTAGAAGTCAGGAGAAGGCTCTTCAGGTTTAATCCAAGAACACCTGTCTTTAGGTCAGTGGGTTAGAGTTCAGTGTTCTGTTGATCGTAACTTCTTTTTATTAGCGATAAAGCTGCATTGTCATCTGATACCACGCAAGAGAATCTGCTTCATACCTGATACAGTAAACTTCAGAAGCTACCAATTCCGATGAGAAGTCCAGGATTTCATTCCTGAAACCGGTCGCTCAGTAGCAAGAAACTAATATTTTATGCTCCTCGATTTGCAATAGTTTTCTAATTGCTGATAATATCTACATCAAAACAAGAATTTCCTGTGTTAAAAAGGAAAAAGAAAAAACTCTCAGATTTTCACGTAATATTTAACTGCAGAGTGGATGCAGTTAACTTCCCAACTTCGAATTAGTCTACAACAGAAGTTAATGGTGGGTTTATCTGATAACTTTCATTGAGAATTTGTAAACAGTAATCAACACTTTTCCCTCTAATACTGATGATCTGTTTTATGTTATTTAGTGAAAACAACAGCCAGGCTAATTTATTGACTATAAAGGAGTAATATATCTTTTTCATTATTTTAACCAATTTATAAGACGTTGTTTACTGTTATCGGTAGAGCACACTCCATCTCCAGTCACCAAATCATTATAGATGCAAAAGTCCGCAAGCAGTTTTACATTCTCATTCATTCCGGTGAGCGCCTCTTGATTCACGATGAGTTCTCTTTCCTTTGTTGTCTGCTACCAGCTTGGCATTTATATCACTTATCAGAAATGATCTGATTTTACTACTGTGAAATTAAACTGACACACAGGTTAATCTGTGTTCCTAAAAAAGGGTTACTTCTAAAAATTATTTATCCAACTCATTAAACTATTACCTAAGGGAGTAGTACGCCCAAATGGAAATGAAATGTTTCAGTGGGTAAATTTGACCGAACTGTTTGTAGGTCTTATGTTATTCATTAGCATTCAGGTGAATAGATCTATATCCGACAGTTACTAAGACAGCAAAAGATTAAATGACTTCAGATAATGGGATTTCCTTCTATCGAAACGACAGGAACAATGAAGCGAATAAATTTTATGCCGGAGCAAAATGACAAAAATAGAGGAGATTTTCCAGATGATTTGTCTTTTCCTTTCTGTTGTGATACAATTAATCATTTAAATAGTTAGTAAACTGAAGTTTTTATGCTACACAGTATATTTTTGTTTAGTGATAATGAATTTTATTCATTTAGGTGTGAACACTTGTCATACTCTTACAGTTATTTCCGTTAATTATTCATTTAGACTGTAATATGGTAATTTCTACTTGCCTACAGATTCTACGTATGAAGAAATCACTTAATATGAAACGTGAGTACCCTGAGTATATATATATATATACTCAATGTACTCGCGCTTGTCAGCAAATAGATAAATATGTCACAGTGACTAACTTTTAATATGTTTTATAGAAATTTACTACAAAAAGTAGTGACTGTTTGTATGATTTTTTTGGTGCCATTGAAATTCAGTCGGATTATACAAATGTATATAGATTTTGAAAGTAAATTTATTCAATTCTTAATGGGGATTCTAAGTCAGTGTATTCATTTAAGCGGAATGTCAGTAAACCTGCCAGTGGCATTAAAATGTGTCGGCGTCATACTGGGAGCTGATAGAAGGAGGGTATTCTTATGTATTGAATTCCAACCTATTACTTGACGCCAGATAGAATCATGAATATGCAGAGATGTACTTTGAATGAAAAGCACCAAACAGGTTGTCATAGTTTACAACAGTTCTTCTAGATAATGTGGATTGGCAACGAAATCTACCATAATATTTCTGACCGTTTCCCTTTTCTTAATGCAAATTATGTTTTATGGTGGGATTGTTTGCAGTCATAGTAAATATAACACATTGCAAAACTTGGCAAAGTCAGATGTAAAGGATATACAATTCCATATAAATATTATAAGAAAGATGATGAAATGAATGTGAAAAATAGTTGATGAGAATGTCAAAAATATTGTTTTAAAAGAAACAATTATCCCCGTTTTTTTGTATAATCCGTCCTGGGAAAATTAAGCCAAGCTTAGAAATACTTCTAAATAGACAGATATACACAACTGGTAGTTCTATGAAATACCAGTGTTATCTTCTGATAGATTGAAGTGGCAGTGAACTTCTTATTAGCTGTAAGATAAGAGACAGGGGCATTTAATTTACAAATAAGAACTGATTTTATGAAGTTCCAAGGTCCAATTTTTGGTATTTGATAAGTCAAATATCTTCATGTGAAACTCATTGGAGCTGTAGAGACTTCACTTTTCGAAATAGTTATCTACTCACTTTGTTCATTTTCCTGCAGTCATCAAAATCTTATGATGGAAAGATTAAAGAAAAGTGATTACTAAACATTGTCATTTACTATAGGTATAGTATAGACTAAATTCTGAATTGCATACTCCAAGGGATGAAAAATACCACTTGGTGAAATAATTTCATTACGGACTTTGACTAGTTTTCGAGACTTTTCAATTAAATCATCCGTTGTTCCGTGTAAGAAATATGAATGTAAAGAAAAGTAACTTAATTAAAATACGTTGAAGTGAGCTTCAAGCTGAATTCCCTGATTGATAAGTCTCTTCCTATATAAATTACTGTTAGAATGACGCAAACACTGTAGAAAGAACTTAACTCGGGCCAGTAAGCCTGATTCTTACATTCCATGAAACTGTCCTACTGACTTAACAATCAAATCTATTTTTGATTATGATTGGAGATGTCTGCTAAGTCGATTAGAAATTTCATTATTATTCCCTGACCTCTTATGACCTCACTTCCAATTTAAAAATATCTGAGTAATTAGATTGTTTTTATTCTAATTATTTTCAATTTTATTTATCAATTGGATTAGTTAGGCATGTGTATAAGGAATTGAATAGCCTGACCTTCCTTCGATTTTTACCAATAAATAAGAATAAAAATAGAGGTA